TTTTTTTTTTTCGTGGGGTGCCGCAAAAATTCCATCCCCGGGCAGGACTAACCCGAGCTACGCCACTGGGTACAATAAAAATTTTGGTCTGAGGGTGCTGCACTTTTTAATTCTAGATCCACCTCTGAATATAACTTTCTAGATTTTTTCGGGTTTAAAAAAAAAACAAAAAAACTAGACACGAAATTAAGGAGGTAGCCGCCGTTTGTTGATTTTGTTTTCAGCACAGAGACCCGTCCTTATGTACCCAGGTAAAAGAAGAAATGTCCTCCTGTTTTATTTTAGCTCCTGTAATCCCCGTCCCTAAACATTTGGGCACATATTGGTTTCGATGTTTTGTATCCTTCTCAGCCGTCCCCCCCCCCCAACCCCAACCCACCCACTCTGTTTGCTCTCGACAGCCCTCCACTAATAGCCCCCCACTCGTTTCTCTAACTCCCCAAGACGACCGCCGCCATTACGCGGGTCTCGTGCAAGAGTAATTCCCCCCTTTCATTTGCCGCAGCGCCGCACGTTATTTTAAGAGCATCAAAATCGGGTTTCTCACGCCGGACAAACGCTGAGGTTGACTCTCGGTAAAAGGTTCAATTTCTGCTGACGTCGTTGTAAAATCACATTTGGGCAGACGAAATGAGGGGCCCCCGCTGTTGAGAAGTTTTTCAATCGGCCCGTTTTGTTTACAAGCGTTTAAGTGGAAGTGGTTCGGGTTAGGTGGCATGGCGCACTCTGATTGGTTGTTGTCGTGTCGTTACGTTTTGTCTGACCAATCATTGCGTCAGGGATTGCTTCTAGGAAATGGTTAAAAAAAAAAGTTGTCTCTCTTTTTTTTACTTGCCACTTGATAAATGAAGTGAGACATTGGCTTGGGGCTCTCACATCATGACTTGGTACAATGAAGTGACATTTGGCAGTGGGGCTTCACAAAATGACTTGGTACAATGAAGTGACATTTGGCAGTGGGGCTTTCACAAAATGACTTGGTACAATGAAGTGACATTTGGCAGTGGGGCTTTCACAAAATGAATTGGTACAATGAAGTGACATTTGGCAGTGGGGCTTTCACAAAATGACTTGGTACAATGAAGTGACATTTGGCAGTGGGGCTTTCACAAAATGACTTGGTACAATGATTTGAGATACTGGCGTAAGGTTTTTGGTCATTCCTTCCAGCTTGAATACATTGTTAAACATGATCATAGTTCCTCTTATTTACTAGGACAGCATTTCTTTCACAGAACAGGTCAACCATCAACATTGGAATGGAGGCATGCAATGAGCAGGACCATGGACATGAACAATTAACATAAAAATTTCACATGAACATTTCACATGAACAATTGACATAAAATAAGAAATGTACAAGAGGCATCTGCCATTGAAATGTGCCACAGACAGTTTCGAAAGACATATTTCATTTACAGTAACAATAACCATGTTAACATATGATAGACAGTACAAAAGAAAGTATTAAGCCAAGTCCACAGCACTACCATGTTGGACTTAATCCGATGTTTTGTAACGGCTGTTTTCTTTCGTCCGCAGCCAATGTCCCCACACATGGAGATTGCCGACCGACTCCTCAAGAGAGCCATGGACATGACCTACGAAACCCTTGAGGACCTCGGAGCCAGCAGGGAGGACCTCGAGCGAGTTCAGCAAAAGAGAAGCTACATTCAGACGTGCTACTTCCAGGCCATTTCCTGTTATTAGTTTGCGCATGCGCGACCCTAAGCTTGTTTTTTTCGCCAAAACGAAAGTTTATTCCTTGAGTTTTGTTTCTCATCTTTATTTAGATCTATCCTTTTTTTTTTTTTTAGTTTCTGGGTTGGGTTTATCTTGAGCTACTTCCCCCGGGTAGAGTTCATCCTGTGAAAGTCGCCCTCCTTAGGGTAGCAATGGCAACATATTCACCCGAATTCTAGTAGCTCATTGGAAGATTAGGGCAGAGAGGGGAGAAAAAAGTGGGAGGGGTGGGACATAACTTGAAGTTATAAACATTTTGAAGTTTTCTTCTAAATTTACGTTGGATAAATTTCCCTCATAATACATGTCCACACCTTTGTGCTGCGATGAACTGTCTGAAATTGCTGGATCGAGTCTAGATTCAAACATTATTATTTCTATTCGGAATTTGAAAAAATCAATGTTCTAACTCTGTGTTTTATTTTTCTTGTTCTGCTGTGAAAATCCTGACCTCATTTCTATTCCCACTTTACTTCCCTTACTTGCCTCCCACTTTACTTCCCTCACTTGCCTCCCACTTTACTTCCCTCACTTGCCTCCCACTTTACTCGCTTAATTTCCTCATTGGAACTCTTCTGTCTAAAATAGTTCATCTTGTGTTTCTTTATATTGTCAGGTTTGGAGGGTTTCAGACAAACAGTAACCTAAAAATTGTGTTAATAAATACCATAAACTAACGCACGTGTTTTAATGGTTTGTTTATTTGTTGTTGTTTTTTTTTGTTTTTATTCATTTTACTCATATACATCTACTTCGTCCGATATATCACCATGTCTGTATGGTTTTAGATTTTTTAGATTCGTATAGTTTTAGATCCGTATAGTGTTTAGATGAGTATAGTTTTAATCAGTATAGTTTTAATCAGTATAGTTTTAGATAAGTATAGTTTTAGATAAGTATAGTTTTAGATCAGTATAGTTTTAGATCAGTATAGTTTTAGATCAGTATAGTTTTAGATCAGTATAGTTTTAGATCAGTATAGTTTTAGATCAGTATAGTTTTAGATCAGTATAGTTTTAGATCAGTATAGTTTTAGATCAGTATAGTTTTAGATCAGTATAGTTTTAGATCAGTATAGTTTTAGATCAGTATAGTTTTAGATCAGTATAGTTTTAGATCAGTATAGTTTTAGATCAGTATAGTTTTAGATCAGTATAGTTTTAGATCAGTATAGTTTTAGATCAGTATAGTTTTAGATCAGTATAGTTTTAGATCAGTATAGTTTTAGATCAGTATAGTTTTAGATCAGTATAGTTTTAGATCAGTATAGTTTTAGATCAGTATAGTTTTAGATCAGTATAGTTTTAGATCAGTATAGTTTTAGATCAGTATAGTTTTAGATCAGTATAGTTTTAGATCAGTATAGTTTTAGATCAGTATAGTTTTAGATCAGTATAGTTTTAGATCAGTATAGTTTTAGATCAGTATAGTTTTAGATCAGTATAGTTTTAGATCAGTATAGTTTTAGATCAGTATAGTTTTAGATCAGTATAGTTTTAGATCAGTATAGTTTTAGATCAGTATAGTTTTAGATCAGTATAGTTTTAGATCAGTATAGTTTTAGATCAGTATAGTTTTAGATCAGTATAGTTTTAGA